GCTACTCCTATTTCTACTACTACTAGCTAGCAATATAGCTGCGCGTTTATAGTACTGCTATTAACACTGACGCTACCATCTGTCAAAGGTGAAGTTGCTGGAGCTCATTACCCACTGATCTCAACAAGGAGTGTGAATCTGGGTTTCAAATACTCCGTGTAAGTACATGTATGGGGCTCTGGGCCGTGTGAGCAGAGCTTGTCTTGGTTTTCACCCTCCCAACTCTATCCATCAAGCGGTGTCCGTTTCTACTAGGTTTGGACCAGAATACTGCTGATATAAGTACGTGATCATGCTAAAGTGCTAATTTTTTTAATCATGCTTAGTACGACCAATAAATAGTATACTATAATACGGCCTGTGTGTGCTTTTTTAAGAAGTCGGCACCCAGTATGCACGCCCAATCTGTATGAGGTAAAGTGATTTGCTAATGGGTTAAATAAGGCGTTATTAAAAATAGCACAAGTCTTACCATGTGGTAAACTTTGCAGTCTATAGACTACCTATGGGCCTACTATAGTATCTGTTTGTAGCTTGTACTTAACAGAGCGTCTACTCATATCCTCTCGATCCCAGCAGGGATTGTGAATCTCGGTTTGTGCTATTCCGAGTAACTACATGTTTGAGACCCGAAGCACATCAAGGCTTTCCTTGGTTTCCGCCCTCACACCTCTGTCCACCAAAAGCTGTGTCCTATCGTACCAAGTTTGAGCTAGGATACTGCTAGTAAAGGTAATATGCCACTGCTAAGAGTGATAATTCCAGTAATAATACTTAATAAAACCAGTGGATAGTATATTCTATTAATATATTCCAATAATTGCATCAAGTGCTGGCATGCCTCCTAGTATTGCAACAAGCATAACAAATGGGAATATGAGCTTATGCGCATCCAAAACTTCATCTGGACCGATTTTTAAGACATCCAGGTGAGCGTTCACGTCCGATAGATAAGTGAACACCATCGATAGAATAAAAATTCAGGTTGGCGCTTTCCCGTCCTTCATTAAGTTCCACCCAACAAAACTCCCAACATCACCCGCCCCTCTTTTAACGCCGATATGTCATTCGTTGTCTGAGTGGCGTCATTATCGCAGGCAGTTAGGCAAGATAAATCCTAACAACTGCGATCTTTAGACCCAGTTCCTTA